GATAACCTGCTAGGCTTGGGATAAAATAATAGGCCCACAAAGCTAAGCCGAACACCGGGTATCTTTACTACATCCCATCAAATCAAAAGGTTCGGGGTAAAAATACCGTAGGTGTTGGTTTAGCTGTTGGCGAACACAGCTCAGGTGAGGCGCAGTCAATGATAGGGGATTTATGCGGCGTTGGGACGAAATAGAACAAATGGGATCCCATGTACATGCCTTGTTACATGCTTGTATGCGATGTGTAGCGTGTGGGGTGTATAAGGCAGGTACCTTCATACTTTCACTGGTCGCACGTGCAAACAATACAGCACTCAATCCTACCATGGCTTTACCTATTCAAACAGACAGACATTCAGCATAACAACTTAGTCTATTGATACAAAAGATTCAATTCAAATTTTCACAATGTCGTTGTAAAATAGTTAACATGAAGGTTTAGGGCTAAGTTCCATGGCTAGAAACAGTAAACGTTCAGTCGAACCAGTTGTGATTGGTATCTGAATCTAGCCAGTAAACGCATGGACAAGAGCTGACCACATTATTCCTTCATAATTATGTCGAACTCGCAGAATACTCTGCCGTTTTGATAGCCAGGATAAGATTCCTGTAATATCAACCACACTATATCCCCCACCTCCAGCTTATAATGCTATAATATCCGTCCATCCATGTCCACCCCACCATCTCCATCACGACTACCCCCCACCCACCATCTCCACCCCGTCTACCCCACCACCCACCACCTCCACCACGACTACCCTACCACCCACCACCTCCACCACCCCCACAGACGCCACTGTTTACCCAACAAAATTGTCCAAACTCCCCTCCCCTCCCCTCCTCATCTCACCAACCACCATACTGTTTAGATTGCGCCTGCAACAACTACTTCCCCCAATCACGTGACAGGCAGTAAATCTCGCGAGATCATCGTTCAAGTGTTATTTCAGGGCCTCTCCCCTAGCCTCGTTCTGGATCTCGCGCGCCCCGTCCAGCATCTCGCGCCTGATCACGTGCCCCCAGCGATGTGGGGGCTGACACCGACAGGAGCCTGCTGTTGATGCCTGGGACAAAACCTCGGAAAATTCGATTGAAACTCGGATCTATTTTCTAGCTGGCACAGAACAAAGAATGTTAAAATACCACCACCTCACATACCACCACCCCCAAATACCACCCCCAAATACCACCTCCCAATACCAACACACCCGAATACCACCTCCCACATTTTCAGTCTACCGATGACAACAGCTGAAGATGCCTGAAGCGACGAGTTCAGGTTTGTCTCGTGAGAACAAATGGGCGTCTGAAGGAGGGGCGGGGGGGGGGGGGGAGGGGTAGAAGATTGGGGCATTCGTCCCTATATGCAAGTAACTTTGGATTGTTAGCTGTCACAGACATTCGTACCACCCTCCGCCTCCCCCAATATAATACATATGCCCACAACCCATATTCTCACCCACCCCCAACTCACACCAAAAGAAAATTACCCATAATCCACATTCCCTCCACACTCACAATAACATCAAATTACCAATAACCTACATACCTCCCACCCACTCCAAAATCAGATTTCCCATAATCCCATATTAATTACTAAAAATAAACTCTAATAAAAAGTTCCAACCAACCAAAAACAATATGTCACCAACAGCAAGTTTTCTGTTCAGTTAATATTGATCAATGTCTTGATACTTCTCTTGTAGAAGATTCGACTTTGTGCTATAAGACTGCAAGAACCACATGTTTAACTTCTTTTAAATTTACACGGAAACCCAACAGCTTCTTGCTAAGTTTAAAAAAAAAAATCACTTAATATTGCAAACATCTTTTTCATCAAACCTTTTCAAACCTGCTGCTCTAATCTCTTTGGCTGGAGATTTAACAGCAATGAAAACACATTATCTAGGTCAAAGACGCGTTCGCACCGCGTTCGATTGTGTCTAGACTCTAGGTAAAAACATACGGAATCCCGTAGACATGGGTTCTACTCTATTAAAATGCGTTTGCGCGGCATTAACACTGTAATCTGTGCGCATGTTTCTAGCGGAGTTACGGGAATACCCGCATGATCAAATCACCAGTGTGTTGATTTAAAAAGGATTATTTTTCCTAGCGTACTATCAACAGGCAGCGCGCGGTTCGGTAAAGTGTTGTGGATCTTTTACGCCGGGAGTCAGACTCTGACGGTGCGAAAATATAAATATCGCGCAGTGTTGCATCATGGGAAAGAAATTTGAGAGGAGCGATGTTGACGGGAACGACGGGGTGGTAAAGAAATAATAAGGAAAATAAATAAATAAGGAGTCGAGATAAGTGACGACAATTGTGACGTTCTTCGTCAGGCGTTGTTAGCTGGTAAGGTGATGGTGAGGTGTTTAAGGTTGGTGAGCTATGTATGGTGAGATATGTATTGCGTAGGTGAGGTATGTATGGTGGGATTGTACAGGTTTTATGAGGTATGAATGTTGAGCTATGTGAGGGTTTAGAGAGATATGTATAGACTTGGTGACGTATATATATATATATATATATATATCGATATATGTATAGATTAAGTGAGATATAGATTGGTTTGGTAATCTATTATAGTCTGGTAAGGTATGTATGGATTAGTAGAGGTAAGTATAGGTATGGTGTGAGTAGTATAAGATGGTAAGGTATGCATGGTTAGGTATATGTAGTTTGGGCATATATATATATATATATATACATATATATATATATATATGTATATATATATATATATATATATATATATATATATATATATATATATATATATATATATATATATATATATATATATATATATATATATATATATATATATATATATATATATAGTCTGGTGATGTTTTAAAGCTAGTTAGATATTGTCGAAGGAAAAGCAAAAAAATAATACACTTTCCCATATGTCCAAATGACAGGGTAAACTATTTTTCCAGATTGTTTACACAGAGATGTTTAAGTACGTTACAGAAGGACATATAAAATATATGCTGGTTAATAGTTTATCTGAACGGCATGCATGTTTGTCTGTATATATGTATGTATGTATGTACAGTACATGTGTGTATAAGACTTGCTAGAAACATTAAAAGGGCTTGCACTAACCCCAGATTTGGATGTTGTCAGATAACTTTATTTTGAAGATTTTTTTTTCGCGACGTACCTCACAACACCAAGAGATTTAATCAGGTCCTGTATAGAGAATTAATTTTATTTTCTATAATTGTTTCACTTCCTGCTTCAATAAAATTCCCAGATTTTTATTTTCGCTCTCCTGTCCGAACCGATGAAAGACATTTAAAAAAAAGTTTAGAAATAACAAGCGTCGATTGAGAGGGGAGAGAATTTGGGGAAGAGGAAATATTGTATGAAAGGGGAGATCTTGTATGAGAGGGGAGATAATGTATGAGAGGGGAGATAATGTATGAGAAGGGAGAGAATTTACTTGAAATGAGTGAGAATTTAAGAGAGGTTAGAGAATGTATGATATAATTTATGTGAGGGGAGAGAATTTTATGAGAAGTAAGATAATTTATTTGTAAGAGAAGAGAGAATGTATGAGAGTGTAGAGAATGTATGAGGTGGGAGATAATTTATTTAAAAGGGGAAATAATTTTTTTGAGGAGAGAGAAAGTATGAGAGGGGAGAATTGGGTGAGAATTTAAGAGAGATTAGAGAATGTATGATATACTTTTATGTAAAGGGAGAGAATTTTATGAGAGTGGAGAGACTTTATTTTTATGAGGAGAGAATATATGAGAGTGTAGAGAATGTTTGAGAGGGGAGAGAATGTATACGAGCTGGGAGAGAATCCAGACATACTTGTTCTTCCCCTGACTGGTCCAGAGTCCCACGCTAATGAGAGCCTTTCATGGCTTGTACAAGCAATTTCTATCTTATGACAGGGGTCGAGGCGAGTTTTTGTCCGAGGGGGAAGCGAGGGGGGTGGGGCTGGTCAGAGGGTGGGACAAATAAGACGAGGTCAGCTTCAATGAGTGTCGGGATATGCAGGATATGGAGTCAGGGGAGATGAGGGTGAGTGCTTGTTGTCTGGAGGTTTTCTGTGTGTGAGTAAATGAAGTTTGGTACTGATGGGCGCGTGCATGTGACTGGGGTTTGGTGATGTACGCTTAATGGGAAAATGGTGTCAAGGATGGAGTGGGGGAAGTTTACGCTACAACACGTGACCCGGAAATGATTTGTGTGAGAACCAACAAGAGTTGTTATCTCTGGCGTTGCTCAGGGTGGTGCGGAGGGGTGTCAATCCCAGGAGAAGTAACGTAGTTATCCTGCTTGCCTGGTATTGTCATATAAGTAGAGTGACGAGACTTTCTTCAAAAAACCTTATAAATTGAACCTTAATTTTTTAAAACCCTTATTATGATAATCACAGTCGCTTAGGAGTGAGCAGTTAATTTCAGAGTACACATTTCACGAACACAAAAAAAAAATTTTTATAAAAGAAAATCAGGTGTTTAAATAGATAAAACATGAAGACTGAGAAATATTGTTTGACACGGTGTTGCGTTTCTTGGAAATTAAATAAATAATGACTCTAAATTACTATGTTAAGATCAAGACGTTGATTTATTTGACAGAAACAGAAGCTTTATAACGGTTCAACTATTGAAGAAATTAAAACCCTTTCATGGACAGATTTTAAAAAGAAAACATTATCGACTTCACTAGTTGAATGACGAGAAAATAACAATAAAAAAGCAGAAGAAAAATAGATTCGATTAAAAGTAAATAATATGTGAAAATGAAGGAAACTTTTACAAGTAAAGAAAGAGATGAAAGAAACTTCGGAAAGTAAAGAAAAAGATGAAGGAAACTTCACATAGTAAAGAAAAAGATGAAGGAAACTTCACATAGTAAAGAAAAAGATGAAGGAAACTTCACATAGTAAAGAAAAAGATGAAAGAAACTTCACATAGTAAAAAAAAAAGATGAAGACATCAACTAGTAAAGCAAAAGTAACTCACCCATAGACGTCATGGCGGCCATGACAGCGACTAGAAAGTTATTGGTCTGGGTAATCCAGCGCACGTCTCGCTTCAGACGTCTCATGGCCTCATGCCTCGATAGCCCTAGCCGAGAGAAGCAAATGTTTAGAACCCGCGACACACGACCCCATGCCACCGTTAGGAGTCCATTCGGTCTATTGTCACACACTTAATCTCCAGCTAATCTATAATCCGAGGTGGTAATCCAAGCTTGATTTCATCCAGAGTAGAAACTTGATAATATCATTTGCTGAAATAAACAATGAACTATGTCATTGTTAAAGTAGAAATAAACAATGAATTATGTCATTATAAAAGTAGAAATAAACAATGAATTTGGTTATTATTAAAGTAGACTATTCTATTGATTATAAAGTTATTTACCCAATCAATTCCTTTCAAAATTTGATAGCTGATTGCATTATATATATATATATATATATATATATATATATATATATATATATATATATATATATATATATATATATATATATATATATATATATACATATGTGTGTGTGTATGTGTGTGTGTGTATCCCGCACGTTTCTGGACTCTAAAGGCCAAGGTCAGGGTCGTCTGATGGCTGAGTTGCTGTCAACTTTGGCAGACGATGATATCGGCCGGTCAGTCTCAGCCTGGACCTGACTGGACACGGCTGTCAGACCACAAGGTCAAGGTCTGTTTCCCATCGAGGCGAGATTTAATAAGACAGCCCGTCAGCTGACAGCCCTATCTCTTGACCAGCTGTCCCAGGGGTTTTGGCTGTCCTAGTTAGCGTCTGACCTCCCTGTACTGCATCTATAACCTTTTTACACTCCGTTGTACACACACTTTTTTTTACCTTTCCTCACCCCACACCTCTCACTAAACCTCATCCCACACCTCTCACTAAACCTCATCCCACACCCTCTCTAAACCTCACCCCACTCCCCTCACTAAACCTCAACCCACACCCCTCTCTAAACCTCACCCCACACCTCTCACTAAACCTCACCCCACACCTCTCACTAAACATCACCCCACACCTCTCACTAAACCTCACCCCACACCCCCACTAAACCTCCCCCACCCCTTGTTCGTATACACCTCTGACTCCTCTTACCTCTTTTCTCCACCACTTCTCCCCCTCCACCCCTATCCTGTCTCACGTATAATACACGTATCAGATATCCCTACAGTTTTTATGATGGTATTTCCCACCTCACAGCTACACACATACCTACAGCTATGATAGCTACCCACATACCTACAGCTATGATAGCTACACACATACCTACAGCTATGATAGTTCCTCCAAGCGGGCCCCTACCTGCGTACAAAATACGATATCCCTTTGCATAGGTTGTTGCATGCTTTCATCTATCTTAGCATGTCCCTAGCGACTTAATGTGTGCTCAACGATTTTCATCACGTCCCAACTAGTTGTTAGTTCCGGTTGTTAGAAGTCTTACTTCCGGTAGAAAATAGTCTTACTACCGGGTGTCACAAGCTTTATTCTCATACGTTACACGTCTAATTGCCGTTTATCACAATTCTCTCTTCCTGTTGTCACAAATCTTACTTCCGGTCGCACGGCAAACTTCCGGTTGTCAAATGTCTTACTTCCGGTTGTCAGACCTCTTACTTCCGGTTGTCACACCTCTTACTTCCGGCTGTCACACCTTTTACTTCCGGCTGTCACACGTCTTACTTTCACTTGTCACACGTACACGTCTTACTTCCGGTCAACGTACCTGCCCAGCACATTGCCACGTGCTTCCGGTATAGATTTCTCCCTACTTCCGGTGGCTTGATGGATCTGTAAAAGTCCAAATAATTAGGTCATTAATCTCATGGCATACATAGGTATTGATAGGTTTCTTCCGCCCGTTGTTCGATCTCGATATACGGTATCGATTCTACCGAGATCCTGTACGGTTACACAATATCTTGCAACGATTTTGAGCTAAAATAAGATTGTCGTCAAACTTGGTCCTACTGGACTAGATTGATGACGTCTAAAAATACAAGGATCAAAAGAAATTTGATTGATGAACTGAAATAATAGCCAGTAGAATTAAAATAGTAGCCACTTGAACTAAAATAGTAGCCCATAGAACAAAATAGTAGTCTATTGAACTAAAATAGTAGCCCTTAACTAAAATAGTAGTCGATTAAACTAAAATAGTAGTCTTTTGAACTAAAATAGTAGTCTATTGAACTAAAATAGAAGTCTATTAAACTAAAATAGTAGCTCTTTAACTAAAATAATAGTCCCTTGAACTAACATAGTAGCCCTTACCATATCGAAAGCGATCGTGTCATAGTGTAGGTGAAGTAGAGCTGATCTGAATTTTAAAACTTTACCTGCGACATGCTGAAGTAAATTAGTGGCCCCGTTTCCAGACTAATTTATAGTCTAGGTGAGGTAGAGTGTATCTGATTTTTTTTCACCTTTTCGCCAAGAAAAGATTGCTTGTCTAACACAAAGCTATAAACTTTTAAATTTATTGTCCCCTATTCGACCAAGTCGTCCCCTCCCCCGTATCGATGATTGGCTTAGACGCCACCCACAGACACTACAAGAGCCCAAGTATCAGTAAAATCCTTAAATGTGTATCATACCCCGTAATCAGTGTTCCATCTAAGAGGAAAATGCTAATGTGCAACTTGTAATTTGTGTCCTCGGTGTTCTAAAAGTCTTATACAAGGATATAAGTATTTTACAAAATCTCTGCGCGGCAGCTCAAAACTACTGCGCGGCCGCGCAACCGCGCAACTTAGAGGGAAAATTGCCCATAACATCTATCTAGTTGTATCACAGTTCTATTACGTATGAAAAGGTAACAGGCCTCACGTGATATTACATTAAGACGAAACTATGTAGATATAGGGCTTGTAAGTCCACGGTCTCGAAATCTACACGCTGGCAAGTACTAGTACGAGAAGATGTGACCTACTTACAAGCCCTATTAAACAACAACAATTTAAAAAAAATCTTTATAATTCAAATAAAACACCAGACCAGCCGTCGGATTAAAATACGATTTGAACTAGTTTAAAAAAATCCGTTACTATAATTGATTCTTTGATTAAAACAATGCGTCCTAATAAACACATGATTTATCAAAGGGAGTGATCATGGACTCGATTATGTGATCACATGCTACATTTGTGCTGTAACCCACGGGAGATGCTACATATGCAAAAATGATGGCAGCCATTGGCTTAATACAATAGATTTACAATTTAAAGTTGATCCACACACTAGAGTTATGGGACTTGCTTTAGCCCGGGATAATGAATGGCCATGTAATTTAATTTTTAGAGATGGGAGAGTGAGTGGACGATGTTTTCTGCACTCTTGACTCAGTTAAGGGGGGGGGGTGGGAGGGTGTGTGTGTGGGGGGGGGGGGGTTGGTGGTACGGGGGTGAGGGAGGGATTGGGTGTGTGGTGTGGTTGCACTGTTGATTGAGTTAAGTAAAGGGGTGAGGCGGTGGTAAACGATGTGCAGTGTTTACTGAGTTAAGTGAAGGTAGGGGGGGGGGGGGGGTAAGTCAGTAAGGGTGGGTTTGGGGTGGGGGGTGGGGTAGGCGATGTGCAATGTTAACTATGTTGAGTTAAGTGACGATGTTCTGTTCTGTACACTATTGATTAAGCAGAGGATAGATGGACGAAGCGGGGGGGGGGGGGGGAGGGGTTCGATTTTTTAGTGCATAAAGTGAAAATCGAGAGTCAAGGTCTTATTAAAACAGTTGTATTCCCCTGTTGTACTATCGCGTCGCCCCACTCCCACCCCTTCCCCAACCATGTACACATACAACAGACATTTCATCCCGCGTACAATACACAGTTTGCGTATATATAAGCCTTCCCATTTAAATACATGTAATATCACGTCCATTTGTACACACAATACAGATACTATCACTCACAATAAAACACACTATGAGTGGTTGAAATTGGGCACCATATAACAAAGCATTATTCCATTTTCTAAAGCAACTCATTCAATTTTTTTTAATATCATCTAATGTGTAACTCATTGGATCATCCAGCGCTAAGAAATCTTCAGGTGGATCAGTCGATTTTGTAGGTGATCTTATCATCATCAACATCATCATCATCATCATCATCATCATCATCATCATCTCCCAACACTAATTGGTGCACAAGGCATCAACACGTGTGGCATTTCGTCTCTAGCTATAGCTTTAGCTGGTTGGTGGTTGCTGGTAGTTGTTGGTGATTGTTGGTGGTTGGTGGTGGTTGGTTGTTGGTGGTTTGTGGTGGATGGTTGTTGGTTGTGGTTGGTCGGTTGTTGGTTGTGAGTGGTCAGTTGTTGGTTGCTGGTGGTTGGTGGTTGGTGGTGGTTGGTGGTTGGTGGTTGGTTGGTGGTGGTTGGTGGGCTTTTCTTATTCAACTTTCTCCTGATCTTCATTCCTTTTGGCCTCCTTCGTTTCCCCTTGCCCTGTGGTGTTCATACTAGAGCCACTACGTCTGTACCCCCAGTGGACTTTATGAAACTACAGACTGCCCTATACAGGACAGCTGAGTGTAAACTGAAGCCTAGCTAACAAGTCGTATAAAAAACACTGCCACGGAACAGGATTGTTAGAGTGATCGCCCATGAATTGTTGTAACGACTTCGTCAAGGAAAAACAACACATCTTGACACTTGTTTGTTTAAACTTGACACCCCCACTGAGCATGCGCAGCTGTCAGCCGGATGTTGACGTAATTTAGTTCACGGATTTGAAGTGTCCGATACCTGCTGGACTTGTCATAACACGTGCTCCGGAGGAGAGATAGAGGGAGGATCAGTTACGGCCCTTGTTGGGTTGGATGTGAAGGGGTTAAATGTTGAGTGGGACACGGGTGTGAAGGGGTTAAATGCCGCATGGGACATGGGTGTAAAAGGGTTAAACGTAAAGTGGGACACGGGTGTGAAGGGGTTAAACGTTGAGTGGGACACGGGTGTGAAGGGGTTAAACATTGAGTGGGACACGGGTGTGAAGGGGTTAAATGCCGCATGGGACACGGGTGTGATGGGGTTAAATGTCGTATGTGATTCTAATGTGAAGGGTTAAACGTTTAGTGAGACACGGGTGTGAAAGGGTTAAACGTAAAGTGGGACACGGGTGTAAAGGGGTTAAATGCCGCATGGGACACGGGTGTGATGGGGTCAAACGCTGATTGGAACACGGCCGCGAGATCGTTAACTGACGTGCCAACCGCTTCCGGAATAAGAATTTTCTAGAAAGAAAAAATATCCATTTTAATTCTGACGTCTAAATGTGTAGCCCATAGTATTGTGAACCTTTGTAGTAGACAGTTTTTGAAACATTTATTAACGTGATCTATCTTTAGGTGACCTATCTTTACGTGATCTATCTTTAGGTGCCCTATCTTTACGTGACCTAAACTTAAGTGATCCCTGTTAACGTGACCTACTTTTACATGACCTATGTTCACGTGACCTATATATAATAGATATATCTATATAATCGTGATATATCGTTACGTGTTCTATGTTTTTGGATTTCCAAATGTACCTACTGTATTTATATTCTCAATATAAGCTCACAACTAAAAATTTAATACACATATTATGATGAATCGATTCTGTCTGTTATAAAGGACATTATATGGGCTCCAGTGAACCAAGCGTACACAGACCGATGTTTAAACGGGGAATCAAATATTAAATTGATACTGTTACACTTGATATGGTTTTCATTTTCAGCTTGTGATTAACCGCAGCTTAGGATTATAGGATTAGGATTACAGAGGCGCAGGTATTCCCAACTGCAATCTGCAACAGCACAAGGATTACACGACTGTAGATTGTCTACATTAGGTGTGTAGTTTGTCTACATTAGGTGTGTGTAGTTTGTCTACATTAGGTGTGTAGTTTGTCTACATTAGGTATGTATAGTCTGTCTACGTTATGGCGGTAGATTATAGAGCCAAAAGTTGGCGAGAGAAAAATTTGTTTCTCCATAGAAAAACAATTACGCTGTCTGGAATCTTGCCTACCTGGTTTAAAAAGAGAAGCGGTAAAAGACTAGACCGAAATGACTAGACCGAAATGACTAGACCAACATGACTAGACCGAAATGACTAAACTGAAATGACTAGGCCGAAATGACCATACCGAAATGACTAGACCGAAATGACTAGACCGAAATGACTCTGGTGGAGACGATTACCCTGGTTACGTCACATCCCTGATCAGGACACTAATGAGTACAAGTACTTTGTGTGAAGTTTTTTTCGATTCCGTGTTTAGCAACTGTAAAATGTGAATGTAAATTATCTGCAGGAGTACATTTTGTAAATACTCTTTCGTGAGTTGCATTGCTGATGACTTAAACTTAACTTTGCACATCAAGTTTAACTTACATCACAAATAGCAACAAACTGAGGTAAAAGCTGTTTGTTAAAATAGGACATGGTATGTATTATTGAGAATGAAAAGGGGGGGGGGGGGTTGAACACGGAGCCGAGCTAGTGTTTAGCTCAATATGTTAGAGATCACGGAGCTATTCTAAAGTTTAATATCGCAGACCACCGAACTAGCTTTGTTTACTCCGAGTGACAATGCCTACAGTATAGTCTAGGCCAGGGGTCTCCAAACTACGGCCCGCGGGCCGGATGCGGCCCGCGATGTCCTCTCATCCGGCCCGCGGAGATCTTTTTGTCCACGGAAAAAACGATTGTTGGTGATGGCTGAGGAACTTTGCCCAGAAAAATCAAAGACATGCCTGGAAGAAACTGGCCCCCGAGCTGAAATTTGATAGTTAATGCGCCCTCGG